TCTCTTTTGTTAGTGGTAAAGGGGGGAGATACGCCTCATCATCCCTCTTCAACTGGGGAGTTTGGTAAAGGAAATGATCAACCCGATTTGTGCCTTACTCAAAATTGACCTTTGCTCGCTTTCTACTCTACATATACATTTTTCACATTACCGTACTCTAAAGGAACTATCAATTCTATACTTTTATATCCTCATGTATCGTATAAAATGACCTCTTTAAGTCTGATATCAGACGTTAAGCATCTTCAACTATATAAATCGAACTTTACGATTAGCAGACCTGTGCTTTCTTCACGACTCTCTCCATGCTTCGGAATATGAAAAGGATAAAAACTTACCGTTCCGATTCAAATTTCGGACGATTCAAATTTCGGACACTTTCATTTTTAATTAAATATTACATCCAGTTAGAAACAAAGTAATAATGTTAGATGATCGTGGAGGGCACTAGTCAACAAAATTTAAAATTTACAAGACATGTGGATCATATTCGACCGAGATAATCAACTTTTAAAAGTGTCCGAAATTCGAGTTTAAGTGTCCGAAATTTGAATCGGCACGGTATAAGAATGGTACGATAATTTGATTTCGTATGCTTTTTCTGCTGAACGGGAATTGGAGAGAATCGAGGCAAGTGTGTGCGTGGTTCTACAATGTTATAAATAAAAAGCTTGCTGGTATATTGCATCGTCTGCATGGTCAACTTGTATCATTCTCTGTGGTAATCGCTGCGGAGAATGATAGGAAATGCAACTAACATTGTATGTAATAAATTGCAGTGGTTTTCGTGTATCGGAACTTACTCTAAAAGATCTTAAAACTTCCATGGACGTTCTTGAAGTTCTCGGAACTAGCCTGGATGAATTTTTCAGAGCTTCTTGAAGGTTCCCGCAATGTTTCACCTGTTAATGGATCGAACATAAGATTTTCAAAATTTACCATAAGATCTCATAACTTCATTAAAGGTCCCGCAAATTACCTGGTGTTCATGGGACTCCCAACTTCTTTGAAGTTTCCTTGACTTTGTTCTTAGAACACCTGTATAGTTCCTGCAATGTTTTTGGAGTTAATTGAACGGATCCAAAATTGTGACATTTTGCCCTTCCCTCAAGTTTTTAAAATGTTACGGATTTTCGTGGAAATACCCTGAAGTTATCAGAACTTACCCGAAGTACTTTGAACTTTCATAAAGATCTTTAAACCTACCAGAAGTTTTCTGAGGTTAATAGAACTTTCCTGAAGATCTATGTTCTTCATTTAAGTTCACGAACTTTTTCATAACTTTAAGGAACTGCACTGAAGATTTTTGAACTTACCCTTAAAGATCTTTGAACTTCCTCAAAGTTCTGGACTGTCCAGAGTTTTTGGAAAGTTCTCTAAATATTTCGGATATTATCTTCAGCTCTTGGATCATCACAGATGATTTCGAAATTGATCTAAAGATCTATTAACTTCCCTGCTGATTTATTGAGTTCCTTGAAGTTGTCAGAACTTCTATACAGTTCCTGTAATTTTCCTGAAATTAGTGGAAATTGTCCGGACGCATTAAAAACGCTGCCTTTATTATTGGAATTGTGAAACCAAGGTTTTATGATCAGGATTCTACATTTTCGAAACAAAGAAAAGAAAATTAACCCTCCGCATAATCGGTTCATTTCGAGCAATATAATGTTCGTGTAAGTCATCGTGTTTCTTATTATCGAGTCACGATGAACATTCCTCTTTTCAAACATGACTGGACTATCACTTGTTTTGTTCGTCAAGTGCTTCAGTTCATTTCATTTGAAGCAAAGACTTATTTCAATTGACTCAATGAATGACTCGAAAACTGCTTCCTTCGTTTTTTCCACTTTCACTTCAATTCGAGTCTCATTCGACTTTTCACGACCTGACGACGCAGGCATCATAATATAGTGTCCGGATAGTATCCGCACAATATCGATTGCCGATAGGGATGGCATTCGGATTATATGTAGTAATAATATATTATTTTATATTAAACGAAAATTAAATTAACGAGACCATTCTGGTGTCCAAGATGGCAGTCATCGGGGTCAGGGAAAGCCTCAAATACCCAACAATACGGGTATTTTTGGAACGGGGACGACGCGAAGGTGCCGAAAATCGATATTCGACGTTATTTTGGAATCCAAAATGGCGGCCATCGGGTTTCAGAAAAAGTGTCAAATACCCTACAATAGGGTATTTTCGGAACGGGGATGCCGCGTAGATGCTGAAAAACGATATTCGACGCCATTTTGGAACTCAAGATAGTGGCCATTGGTTTTATGAAGTGTCAAATACCCTAAGATATGATTATTTTCGGAACGGGAACAACGCGTAGATGCCAAAAATCGATATCCGACGCTATTTTGGAATCCAATATGGCGGCCATTAGTATTCAGAAAATGTCAACTAACCTACAATATGGGTATTTTCGGAACAGGGATGCCGACAATCGATATTCGACGCCATTTTGGAATCCAAGATGGTGGTCATCAAGTTTCATAAAACGTGTCAAATACCCTAAGATACCCGGGTATTTTCGGAACGGAGACAACGCGTGGCTGCCGAAAATCGATATCCGATGCTATGTTGGACTCCAATATGGCGGCCATAGAGCTTCAGAAAAAGTGTCAAATACCCTACAATATGGTTATTTTCGGAGCAGGGACAACGCTTAGATGCCAAAAATCGATATCAGATATCACTTTGGAATCCATTATGGCGGCCATCAGGGTTCAGAAAGTGTCAAATACACTACAATAGGGATATTTTCATAATGGGGACAACGTGTGAATGCCGAAAATCGACATACGATGCCATTTTGGAATCCAATATGGCAGCCATCGGGTTTCACAAGAAGTGTCAAATATATTCAATGCCATTTGTAGGCTATTTGACACTTCTTCTGAAATCGGAAGCCACCATCTTGAATTTCCAAAAAACCCACATTGATCGATATTTGACAGTATTTCACAGTTTTTCTGTACCAAAGCCGCCATCTTGGATTTAAAGACGGCGTGACACGGAAGCCGCCACCGCTTGGATTACAAAATGGCGTCCACACTTAAAATTTTTCGCCGAGATACCAACAGCCGAGCAGTTCTGCAATTTGTTTTCCTGAGATTCAGAAAAACAAGTGCCGAGACTCAGCTAACAAATAACTTTTTGCTGAAATATCAGCTAACAAACAGATATTTTGCAGAGATATCAGCAAAAGTAAATGCCGATGTAATCGGCTGTTAGATTTTACCGAGCTAGATTAAGTGTGTACACACTTAAATTTTTTCGTCGAGATTCCAACAGCCGAGTAATTCTGCAATTTATTTTGCTGAGATTCAGTCAAACAATTGCTGAGTCTAAGCTAACAAATAACATTTTGCTGAGATATCAGCTAACAAACAGATATTTTGCAGAGATATCAGCAAAAGTGAATGCCGAAGTAATCGGCTGTTGGAGATTTTACCGAGCTAGATTAAGTGTGTCGGATATCGATTTCCGGTTTCTAGATGTTACCCTGATTCTTTAAAAAAACCATTTGTATTTGATAGAATTTACAACTTTTTCTCAAACCGGAAGCCGCCATCATGGATTTCAAAATGGCGTCGGATATTGATTTACAATCTCCAGACGTCACCTCGATTCCAAAAGTATCCATATTGATGAGACGACATTAGCATTTCCCATTTTTTCTGAAATAGGAAGCCGCCATATTGGATTTAAAAATGGCGTCGGCTATCGTTTTCCGGCCTCTAGACGCCATCCCGATTCCAAAAATACCTATATGGATGGGTATTTAACAGTATTTCCCACTTAATCTGAAATCGGAAGTCGCCATCATGGATTTCGAAATGGCGTCGCATATCAATTTTCGATCTGTAGACTTCATACCGATTGCAAAAACACCAATATTGATGTGTATTTGATTGTATTTCCACTTTTTCGTAAATCGGAAGCCGCCATCTTCGATTTCAAAATGGCGTCGGATATCAATTTTCGATCTCTAAACGTCACCCCGAATAAAAAATACCCATATTGATGGGTAAACAAACCACCCGACAATGATAAATTTGACATCCACGTGCACAGATCTATGCGCATACGCTTAAATAAACCGAGTGAACAATCAACAAAAGTCATAAAAACTGCACGAATTTGGATCGAACAGTTCATTTGACAATGAAAGAAGAAATGAAGACTAGTTCAAGCTAAAACAAACAGCATAAAAACTGGTGTGGTTCTGTTGATGTTGACGGGGATCTGGTCGAAGAGAAGACAGAATGACTTTCAATTGAAAGTGATGATTGACAGCTTCATCGTCGCTTGACGATTTTCGATTGAAAGTGACTTTGTGGGGCCCTGGTTATGATCACATGTTTTACTAGTAAATTACTAAAAGAGGTTGCAACGTATGCATTTGACACATAAAACCTGTCAATTTTGCTTTCAAAGAGTCACAATCAGCGATTGTATGATCGCTGAGTAAGTGAGTGAAAATTTATTAAATCACTGATTACGACTCTCAGGAAGCGAAATTAACAGGTTTAATGCATCAAACACATACCTTGCAACACCTTCTTGTATCTTACTAATAAAAATATGATAATAACATCTGATAATTACATAATACGGAAAAACATTTTTCTATCTGAAATGAGTGTTCCAACCTTACCGAGAACACAATTTAAATGTGAATTGCACCATATTGGCTCGCACATATCTTAATTTAGTCCAACGAACTGATAACGGTTTCTACCATCTCGGGTCAGCATAAACCCCAAATCCAACCCATAATCCAACATTGCCATACCGTCATCCATTAGCAGCACCAAAGGAAGAAACCCATTTGCCCTGCTGCACTCACCAATGCTTCCCGCAATCTCGTGTAACCTGCCCACAGATTACACTTTTATATTAAATAATTGATGAATGTAACCTCCCTACCGTTCTATCTAATCCTAACCTCTTTCATCCGTTCTGCTTCATCTACATTTCAGATACCGGTGAAAAAAAAAAAACAGGAGGAATGAAAATAATTGCCCTGGCACTCAGATTGCAGACCTAGGCCAAAACCCGAACCGTTATTAAATGCATAAATTTTATCCTGACTATTGAAGCTGAACGCTGTGGCAGAAATAGCACATAGAAGTTCACCTACATAGATGCTCCGATTGGTGGTAACAACATTGAAAGCTCTATGCAGTTCAGTGAATCAGAAAGCAGCAAACCCCCACCACCACCAACAGCAACAACAACAACAACAACCGTAACCTAACGAAAAGTGATCCCCTGTGAGTTTGAAAGGTGCAGAGTGAACGGGAATCGAGGAATCGAGGGCTTGGAGGTGGCAGACCCTTGCGGTTTCCCATGTTTGCAATCCGAATCAAATCAATACCGGCGATGTGTTCCAGAATCAGCAGTAGCAGCAGTGGTAGCGGCAGTAGTTATGTTCTGATAGTTGGTGCTCTGTTTTTAATAATTGTAGAAATAAATCAAACAGATTGCAATTTTATACTGCCCAAAGTGGGTAGTGCTGCTGGTGCTGGTGCTCCGGAAGGGTTGCTGAAGAATATCGATGTTAGCATTAGCACCAGTGGTACCAGTAGTAGTAGTAGTATTAGTAGTAGCAGTAGTAGTGAAAGGACTGGTCCCGTTTATGACGAGTCGACCAACAGCTACTCGACGACTTCGGGAGGTCCTGCAGGAAGTACCAGCAGTCCCAGTTCCACCAGTAGCAGTAGCAACACCTCTTACCCTTCTTCTACATCTTCTGCATCGTCCAACCAAAATGCCAGCACACTGAATGGCTTCGAAGGACAGATCCCGCTGGAACGATTGCCATCCAATACTTTGCTCAAGTATACTGCCTACAAGGACGTTTCGATTCTACATTTCCGTATACCGACCGACACCCGTACCGCCTTCTTTAGTTTTAAGGCATACGAGGAATCTAAAAGTGCCTTTCGTAAGTATTCTTCTTCTGTTGAAATATTGATAAAATCAAATTCCATAAACTTTTGCTTTGATTAGAAAAAAAACATACCGCCTTTTCCTTGAAACCACCCGAACAAGAGACAGAGTCAGAGTCGATTTATAGCCAAGATTAAACCTGTCAGCATAAATCGTTCCCCTTTAGTGCTTACCATTTCACGCACAGTTCCCATTGCCGTACCAATCGAGATGAAATTTAAATTTTCTCCTCCCTCCTTCCACACAAATCAATAGATATCTCACTCCAAACAGTCTCTCACACATACACAGACACACCACCACCCATCCAGTGCTTTTTGCTGTTTTCCTCCGATTGCCCCGCAACAATAAAGTGGTCAATTTCTCTTTGTCTTCTTATATATGCTTCTCCTTCTTCTTCCCAAAACAGAACGTGTGTGTCAACCGAACGACATTACGTTACACCTGAAAGCTGGCAGCTATCCAGTGATTAGTCCGGAAAATATAACCTTCCCGAAGCATTTCCTCAATGCAGATGAAAGGTAAGTGGAACTGATTTTATTCCTTTTCAAACGAAGCGAGGAGTCTGCAATACGATTGGGGCAAACGATATTGTTGGCTTCCGAATTCAGCAACAACAACAAAAAATATCCGGTCGACTTGGGACTTCGTAGAACAAAAACGCGGAAAAGTGTGTCACCACGTTTTAATTTATCAAAGTGTCGTTAAAACGTGACGGAAAAATTGAACGGCTTATGATCGGGCAATAAAATTCGGCTGGGTGCGTTTTACGACTGCTGGACCAGGGATGAATCCGAGGCACGAAGGGAAAATTATTTCGAAAAATAAAAGCCAATATTTTAAATTCAAATCGGTCCTGATAGTTCGCATCTTGATGTAATCCTAAGATTTAAGAAGGTATACTCGTAAGCTTTGTTACTAACGTTCCAGCAATGTCTGTGTCATCAGCGAAGCAAATTAATTCACTGGATTTATAGAAAATCATATCCCTCATTGTATAGCCCGCACGCTTCCCTACACCTTCTACTGCAATGTTGAAGAAGAGACTAGAAAGACCATCGCCTTGTCGAAGTCCTTTGCATGTTTAAGACCTGGCGAAGACAAATCGCAGTCACTTTCAGACTGCTTTGGTGGATTTCCAATTGATAAACAAAACAATGCGTGACTCAATCGTAGCCAACTTAGCTATGGTTTTTAGTTTAGGTAGACTACGTCTTAGAGCATCCGCACCAATGTGTTGCTATTCGGGCTGCTAGTTTGACAACTTTAGCCATTTCTATTTTAGTTAGCAACTTGTATACGCACCGGTCGTTGCTATCACGATTGTGAATTAACATTTTCGGCTTTCGCACCGATAGTTGCTAAACTTATCGTCGAACTTCGAACTGAAATTGATCACAGAGTTTCGTGATTGTTTTTTCGACAATATTGATATACCTAACCACGAAGACTGAAGATTAAAGGTTAAGATCCAACTACAGACCCAGGTACTCAAGAAACGGTCCTCCGGAAGATCCGAATAGCCCAGTGATTTTTTTTAATCACTTGTTGTGATGCTACATGAATGAATTTGAATCTGGGACCAGCATGCGCACACTGGTGGTCACTAAACTGTCCTCTGGGAGATCCAGAACATCAAAAAAAGTGGTCAATTCGTAAAAATGATCGAAATGCTCATCTTATAAAAGTTGCGCACCAAAATGTATAAAGGCATTTTCGGATGCCCATCTGGATTGCTAGATTACATATTTTAGCTTGAGAATGTATCAAGCTCGGTTGGTCGAATTTAATACGGTAGATCTTTTAACATCAGAAAAATTTAAACCTTTAAGAAGTTCTGATTGATAGAAATGTGTGGAAGTTAAAAGATCTTTAAGAGTAAGTTTCGACCGCTCCAGCGAAGATCAAGAGCTTCAGGGCAGTTCCACTATATTCAGGAAAATTTAAGCTTAAATACCTATGAGTAAGTTACGTGAACTTCGGGTAAGTTCTGAAAATGTTAGGGCAGTTCTATGAATATCAGGAAAACTGTGAGAACATGAGGGACGTCCCTAAAACTTTAGGCTCGTTTCGAGAACTTTATGGCAGATCCATTTATTTCAGTAAAACAGAGGAAACCATCAAGAAGTTCAGAAAATTTAAGGATAATAAAAAAATTCAGGGAATGAACTTAAAAACATGAAGAAAGCTACACAGAAGATCCATGTTTAAAGGGAAATTCTTCTAGTTCCATTATTTTCTGAACAATTCCAGGAACATCACCAGGGAAACATAAGGGAAGCTCCGTAAACTTCAGGAAACAATAGAGATCTTCAGGAGGGTCTGAGGAATGAAAAGAAGTACTGAGAATTTCAGGAACCTTGATAAATAGGCAAACTGCGGGAACAAAAGGAAAGTTCCGCAAAATTTCTGGAAATTTTTGTGAACTTCAGGCAAACTTCAGGATTTTTAAAGTGGTCCCAAAAGCTTCAGGAAACTGCAGGAACTTTTAAGACAATTTGAGAAATTCAGGGATATCCAGAGAACTTTAGGGAAGTCCAAATAATTTCAGAGATGTGGTGACATTTTAAAGAACTTCCAAGTACCTCAAAGAAGTTAAACTAAAGAGCTTTAGGGAATTTCAGAGATATTTACGGTGAGGAACATTGGGAATGCACTCATTGAACATTCTGCACTGGGACATCAAAGATGAGGACGTTATCATCGATCACCATTTCCATATCAAGCTGATTGACTTCGGATCGGCGACGTTCGTACAGGAAGGGCAACTTTTTTTCTTTCTGCAGTCCAGAAGTGTTGGTAGACAACCGCTACTTCTGCCCTGAACTGGAAATGTGGGTTCTTGTGGACGTTGAAGAAATCCGTAGGCAAGAATCCCAAAACTCGGATCACCATCCAGGAGCTACTGGAGGTGGAATGGATGACACAGGAAATCAATTCGTTACAGTTAAATTTTCCCAAAATCGTTACGAAATCAAACCGTAGAAGTGCTACGTAGATGCAAATTTCTGCTCCAGCCAGACGGGACTGTCCACGTCGTCGCACAGCCTTTCGATATTGGATGATGTCGATGGTGAAGATGAGGATGAGCATGTCCAATGTCGAATAAGTCAGACAATTTAAAAAAAAAGATTTACTCCTATTTAATTAATATATTTTTTGGATTCATTTTCAATGATTTTTATTCGGGGACTGAGGTTAAAATGTTAAATGGAGCAGCAGTGATTCTATTTAAATCAATCCACGTTGAACGTTAAATGCTTCCTTCAGCCGGTTGATGTGCCGGATAGCGTATCTATGCTTGGAGCTCTACAACAGGCAATGTTAGTGAATGTTTTTGTTTCAAAATCCGTGAAATATCTGGATGTCAATACAGAAGGGCATAAACTTCTCAATTCCGTGGCAGTTTATGTACTCCTGCGTTGGCTTTCAAAGATTCATATTAAATCCACCTGGTCGTCGTCGTGATGTTGCGGATCATAGCAGAAGGGTGAGTTGGAGGCTCCGGCGAAATTATTTGTTGAGGATACCGAAAATTGTTTAATCAAATGTTGACACATCCTCATGCGCATGCGCTGCAATAATGCAGTTATGCCAGTTACTTCGGAGATCACGAAAAATAAGTAACATGGGTGCCAAACAGTGCCAATGAGTGAGCCATGGTGTGCCCTACTGTGTTTTTGGCACACTGTGCTGGGTCGATTCAATAAAATGCAGAAAAACTTCGAGAATTTGTTTGACAGTTCTATCATAGAGGTAACTCTAAGACTAGTAGGTCCCGAAGAAACGTGCTCAACTTTTTGCCTCAGCTCTGGTACTATCTTCGGTCATAAGCTAATCGATGCACCCCTCGAAACATAGGAAAATTTCACGAACCCCTCATTTTATCTGTCAAACTTTCATAGCGAATCAAAACAAACATTGTGTAGTACTAGAATTTTAACTTGAATGGGGTACGTTAATCGATTTGCTTGGGACCAATAGGCTAGTCAAGTAGTGGGCCAATTTAAAATCGTTAGTTTCCACCTGTTGGTTACATTTAGTTCAGGGTAGTACCAAGAATATTCATTAATGTAGCATCAAAATAAGTGATTGAAAAAATACTGAGCTCTAGGACCTTTTCTGCGAATTGGTCCTCTTTACGGATGTTCCGGATTTTTTGAAGGACCGTTCCATGGCCACCAGAGTGCACATACTGGTTTCAAATCTAAATTCATCATGCAGCATAACAATAAGTTGATTAAAAAAGTCTAGATCCTTTTTTAACAAATTTTCCACATTTGCGGATATTCCGGGTCTTCCAATCCAAATTTATTCATATATCACAACGTTCAAATGAAAAACAAAACAAACATTTCATAGATAGCAACGCTTGGGCCGGTTACTATCGCGCTGCTATATTTGTCAACCCACTGGTGGAGGTTGCTAAAATAGCTTTAGCAACGCATTGGTGCGGGTGCTCTTACGGTTACGTTCAGGGGGTAACTCGAAAATCTAAATTGCAACCGTCACGAAAAGGTGTTAGGTTTAGAGCGCTTATAACTTTGTCATTTATAGATGAAATTGAAATCAAAGTACGCCAATGGATAGAAAATTACTCTATAAATCTGCTAAAATTAATTCTTTTTAATTTACCATAGAAGACTTTTGAAAAATGTACAAATAAAAAGCGTTAATGTCATCCCTCTTTTCACTATAAAAAGCTTTTCCCCAAACCCAGTTGTCATAATCGAGTACCACTTGGCTGCGCTTCGGTCTGCTTGAACCTGTAAAGTTATAAAAGAGCACTGCCATCGTACTTCCGCTCATTATCGCTTCGGACGGCGTGGTGAACGGATCAAGGTACATCAGCAAGCAGTAGCAGCAACATCGCCCGCGGTAAAAGGTGAAATTTTCCCTCTCTCTGCCGTCGTGCAGATTAACTATTCTCGCATCGAATGGTTGGCTTGTTAAGCATAATTCACACTGGCACGTCCGGGATGTAATCGGGCTGGGATTTGCATTGGTGTGTGAGAGAGAGATAAAAGATCTGACTGACGATTTTCTATACATTTGTCGCTCTCTTATTTGCGGAGAGTCGAATGATATCGGGCAGATGTGGGATGAGATTTAAGATAAGAACTGTCGTCGTACTATTTCCATTTTCCAGTTAGATTAACATCCAAAGTCCCACCTTTTTTGCATATTCCGCTCAAAAAATACTTTCCAATCCCCGCCCCTACCAGGATTTCCCAACGTTTTTATGAAAAAATAAGTATTTTTTATGCAGAGTACCAGACATGTTTTGCAGTGTCAGATACTCTATTCTGAAGTCTTTGAGAGGGAAATCACAAATCGAGTGTCATCTAAATACATGGCATGCACAAAAATTAAACTCGTGAGAGAGAAATAACAGAGTTTTTTAATTGATTTTATAGTTAATTAACAAGAAAATTTTAAAGTAAAAGTTCCAAACAAGGTATATATTTACTTTCAAAAGTGTTTTCATGTTTTTTTTTATTTATTTATGTGTTTATTTATT